AAATAATATTATATACAGAGTGTTCCATTTGAAAAATCAAAGTTGCTACTGCTTTCTAATAAAAGCGGCAACACCGCATTGTCGAAAATATTTTAGTTGGCTAGAGAATGTCCGAATATGTCCTCCATTAAATTTTCAAAGTGATCCGTTGTCTGGTTCACCAGAAACGTCTAATGTGCCATCCACCGTGAATCAGCCTGTATATGTTTGTTTCAAATGTATGGTTATTATGAATATTGTATTTTCAATTAGCCACAACCTACGGTATAGGTATTTTAGGAAAGACGAATCTTTCGAGATTTCATTTCGAAATATTTATTTTTATATATTTTCAATAAGTAAACTATATTTTGTAATAAAAAATATCACGATGTAGTGAAGACGTAGTGAACACCAAATATTCGTTTTGCATCAAGCTAAGTTTGAAGACCGTTTCGAGGAGAGATACATACGTATAAGAAAATGCATACTTCGAAACATTGCGAAACATTTAACTTTCCCAAAGTACCTTCACCGTAGGGTCTGGTGAATGTCTGTTGGAAAACAACTTTTTCTTGGACATGCTGCAAAATTCAGTTTGTGACTCAGATTAACTGTTAGATTTTGACTTTTTTTAAGTAAAGTATGTTTGCAGAGTACATTTTTGAACGATTCAGAGTAAGCTTGTCGTAGGTATTTTGAGTAAATGTATGAGAGCAACCAAAGAAAGTAGGTAATTCCTCCAATTTCTTTCCAACGTTCGGTGGAGGCGTTGGGCATTCATAGAATTCACAATGCCAAAGGTATATTATATGTTTTTAAATGAATAATTATCATGAGCACACCATTGGGTAATAATTTTCACGTCTTGGCAACAAAAGAATGTGTTCTGAAGAGTAAAAGAATTGAAAAATTTACAGGATACCACATTCACAATGAATTGGTTTTTGTCCCTGGTTCCCTGGTACAAAACACACCTTATATGAAAATATAAAAAAAAAATACGCAACTTGAAATATCAATCGATGCTCCTGAGCGGTTTTTTGAACACGTTTTCATTTGTTCAAAAGCAAATTCATTCCATTCGCCTGAAACACAATCTATGTAAGCAGTGGCGAACTTAATCAGTGCGAGGCCCGGGCGAAAGATTTTTGTGACGACCTGATCTAATGCGAAAATTGTAAATTGAAAAAAGTTATTTCTAATGATTGATACGAGCTAAAATCCATGAATAAAAAAAATTCGAACTTTAAACTGATAAAAGAAGATGAAATATATATAATTGAAAACATAAGGACGCAAATTTTTGATAATGATAATAATGAAACAACTGAGTTACATAAACACCTCCAAAGATAAGCATGTAGGAATTTGAAAATAACGTTGGCGTTTCTATTCGATAATAAAATATCTAAAGTAAACATTACAATCTAACTAATGAGATATGCCATTAACAAGTGAGAATAAAAAGAGCCGATCTCATGTCATCAGATTTTTCGAAATGTTTCAACAATTTTGTAGCTCAAAAAGCTCCTTTCTATAGGCGCAACTGTCACCAGTATTATGACTACTCAAATGACGGGGTGTATATACTTGGTGGTTATTTGGTTTTTCTTTTCCATTATATATTTCAGCCGAGATACCTAATATTGTCGTTTCCTTCGTATAAGCATCTGACAGAATAAGTGTGTGATAAGTAAAAGTGCTTAACGAACATGATAGACATTTTCTAAATATAAATAAAGCTGCTTTTTAATAGCAATTGTCCTAATTCAGATTGAGTTATTCTGGCAATTTCATTCGCCGAGAAGTTGCTGTAACCATAATGGAGAAACCTCATAATTCCAATTAAAGTGAGAATGAACAAAAACTTCTCATCTCTCTACCTTTGGAAAGAAGAAGTGTTCTTTTCGAAGGAGAAGTTAATAGGTTAAAAAAAATTAATTCATATTACCTCCACCCTTGCCGGCGACACTGTATTGATAAACATGCAGTGTGAAAAGTAGATGTGAATCTCTTGTATCCTCTCTCGAAAGGGACCTGCATTCGACAGCCGCATCGAGGTAATGGGCTGCTTTTTCAACGGTGGGCACTCGAAGTTCGCAGTGTGGGGGCTGATTGCCAAATAAGGGATCATCCCTTAGGTAAACACCTGGAGACTGCTCAGAATCTGAAATCAAACATATTTAGTATATCATTTCATCGAGTTGTGGAAGTTTCAAAAAATATGTCAAAAATTGGATATTAAAAAATATATACGTAGCATTTAACTTTTCGACGGGACAAGATATCAGGGTCGAACAAAATTTACATGAAAAGGTCTTATAATGCATGTATTTCCTCAAGTAGCGGAGTAATAATCGTTTTCAAGTCGCTGTTTCATATGCGTACACAACTGAGTCGATTGAAATGTGGAAATGTAGTATTCATTTTGAATGGAACCTAAAGTATCACACGTTTCGTCTGTTAGTAGGCAGACTTCATCAAGCAGTAAAAGTAGCAACTTCATGATGGTGATGGATAATGCAATTTATCATTCCAGAATCGTTGAAAGAATGCTATGCTAAACTCCGCCAAGTAAATGAAGATCCTTATTATCATTATCGACAATGTGAAGAAAAGTTGCTTCGACAAAAAAATATACAATTTAATGAGCTCACGTTCTTACATAACTCCAGTTTATTTCAATAACGTTCAAAATTTTCACCATTCACTTGTTGACAATAATGAAATCTATTTACAAATTTATTTCTTACATTATGGGGTAATTTCGTTGCAAGCATCTCATTTCCAATTTATGAGTTCTGAAATATACTCCAGTTGTATTTCGTACACTTCGGATGTCAAGTATACCTTCAAAAGCATGTAGAGTCAATACACCTGGGGTCATTCTAAAAGACCACGTCTGCCTACCTACCGGTTTGGATAATTGACAAAGCCAAAAGTATTTCCAACTGATGTTACGTTTCAGCAAGAAGAGGTATCTCATCATGAAGTCAGGCATATGCGAAAGTGATTTAGATGACAATTATCCAAACCGTTGAATAGACAAACGCTTGATAGGACGCCCATAGTTTCTAGTGGTGATTCGAGTAAAGTATACGCATTATTGCCATTTCCCTTCTCGTTTAGTCAATTATTATTTCAGTTTCATTTCAAGTCACAATAATTTGTTTACAAAGTAACACTTTTATATTTTTGAATTGCATAATCATCAATAATTTTTATTTTTTCATTTGTTTAACCAACTAATTCAAATATTGATTATTTTGGTCATGATATTTTTAGAATTATCAACACGTATTTCGTATTTAATTTTTTTTGTCATATAGGTAATTCAACTCTGTTCACATCTCATTAGTCGATAGAAAACCGAACATTCATTAAAAACATTTTCAACCAGATTGAAATAAAAATAAGATCATATTATAATATCTTGAATATTTCATTTCGGTCAGATATTAATATATGGTTTTATTGACGAAAATGTATAATAAAAAGTTTGTAATACGAAAAATGCAATTAGTTCTTGATGTTCAAAACCTTTCACTACACGGTAATTTATCAAAAAAATCAGAAAAGCCCCTAAACTTTTCATAAGCGAGTTCTTTACAAGTTTTCGATGTTATCACAATAAAACACATCCGCTGACGGTGGCAGTCTGTTCTGGTAATATGTAAGACACCTTGTTAAGTTTCCCAAGACGATGTTTTGGCCTGTAATGCTTCAGGGCATTCTCCCTTCCTATGGTGCATCTGTTGCTAATTTTCGTGATGAACAGACGGAATTGTCATTCATTGCTCTCGAAGTGTCGCAATACAACTCGAAAATGTACTAGTAATGACCCTTGCTGGAATATATTAAAATTTCAAAGGCAAATTGAATATTCAGGCGGAATTTATGACAACGATGGCCATCAACATAGATATAGATGATGTTAGTGAGTGAGTGTTACATAACACATTATTTTTAGGTGAACAAAGACGAGCGTCGTAGGTAAATCATTTGAGCGCATAACCACTATTTCCCGAGACTGGAATACTAAACTTTTTCTGATTCACATCAGGAATAATGGAAAATATGGTTCATTTGTGTAGAATATCTCGAATGAAAGTAATTCGTTGAATTATTTCATTCAATTTGAATAGATGGGAAATTGCTTGGATGAAAAATACATGATCTCTACATCTTTATAAAGATGTAGAGATCATGCATGCAAAAAAGTATTTTTCAGAAACAAACTGAAAGAATAACCCCTCTCGAAATAGGTACTTTCATATAAACTATGAATTACACGAAAGAAAAAATACTTTCAAAATAACAATTTTTCATGAACATTGAAATGTACAAAAACACTGTGTCCTATTCAGTTTGTACTCCAAACTTTCATATGGAATTAAATTAGATATAAAATAAAAAATGGAGAAGTAAAGGACCAAAAATCCTTTCTTTTCCAAAAAATTATTCTCTTCTGAAAATATACACCTTTCCATTTAATACTTATTGTGGTGTCATCTTTGTTAAAATTGAACGTAATTGATAGGTGATATCGCGGAAGCTAGTATTGATGAACCAACTTGAAAAGTATATTGTATAAAACGATACGGTCCGTGTATGATGAGGTTTTTCATCATTTTCGTCATTTTTCAATAATTGGTACAGTTGTTACTTGCTTCAGACAAGAAGGAAACATTCATAATAATAATTCTGGACCAAAGTTTATCATATTGATGTTCACATTCGTGGTTCACTTGAAAAATAATTATCAAAACAATGAAACCAATTTATTCAGCTCGCGTGGTTCGTATACAATTCTTTTGCGAATTTTATTTAGGATTTCAGGCTGATGTCGGTTGTGACAGTAACATTAATTATCTGTAAAGTTGTATACCGCAATGTATTTCCGGACACAATGCGGCACATCAACAAGAAAATTATCATCCTATAGATAACTATCTTCGCTACAATGCGACTTGAAGTCGACACATAACAACAAGAATAAGCCGAAAATCCAATTAACAAAAGTGATACGTGGGTTAATAAAAAGTTTATATTTGTAGGACTACTCCTCAAATGCCAATTTATTGGTATGCTTATGTGATGTTATCAGTTTCAACGAAAAAAATCTGTTCAATTAACATTTCATCATGAACTTTTCACTGAACGGTTTACAAAACCGCATCATGTGTTTTACTGATTCAGTCACTAAAAACACGCCTGAGGAAGCTACTGTATAGTGAAACAAGTATTGCGGTTTTGTTAACTATTCAGTGAAATTTTCATACTGAAATATTACTTCAATAAATATACGTAATTATAGTAATCTCAGTGTTTCCATTTCTGTTTGATTTTGTCATATATTGTTCCACTATTGTCGACAATAAGCACTTTATGTATTTCCAAATCAATATGAACACATTTCAATAGTTTGAGTCATCTTCATTCCATACATATAATTTTGAAACTACCAATATTGATATTTTTCAATTTTCAGATCTCACTCATGTATACAGTGTATTGCTTAGACAAAGTGACAAGAAAAGCAGAGGAATTCACAGAAATTTGTCACGGAATGCAGTACAAAAATTTCTATAATTCACCAGTCAGAAGGCAGCTAATAAAATTTCTCAACTACACCAGAGATTCACTGCAGCAAATTTTTTCCACATTGACAGAAAAGCAATACTGAAATTTATCAGCACTACCATCACGTATTTGATTGTGATTCTGCAGTTCAACGATAAATTTTTGAATCAAGTGTAAAATATAGAAACATGCCATCGACAAAAATTTTCGGTGAATACAGTACTTGGAATATTTTCCAGAAAATCGCATGCAAATAAAATAAAAGACATGTCAACCCTTACATTACATTTGGAATTTCAAATAGGAAGGGGCGAAGTGACAGAAAATTTCGGAGATCTTTCAATTCTTCCTTGAATGATTTATTTAGATTTATTAAGAATTAGTTGTGTTAGATAATGCACGCACGAGTAATGGCTTTAGTATTATTATATGAATTAAAATATTACATTGAATCTTCTTTCAGGAAGAATAATCGAGAATGTAAAATAACCTTGATTGTAGTTAATTTACGTTTAGTAGTAGATTTTCGATTCTTATTGCAGAAAAACAATGATATGTTTTTTCGATTTTTCAAAAAGATTCAAGTAAGCCATTTTTTACAAAGTGAGCTATGAATTTTCTTAAAACAAGTAGACAAATTACGAAAGGAGCACATCTTTACCCCAATTCAATCTACAATTTCCAACATCGATATTCTCAGATATAATCGGTATATATATCCAGCGAAAATGATTTCAAAATAAAAATATTATAAAGTAGTCATCAACTTGCCAAGTTCGACAACACTCACCATTAGAATATCCGGCCAAAAGATCCCTAAGTTGATTGGTTGGACCGCATATTTCAACTGCTGACACTCTTACGGAGAATCTAGCACCAGTCTTCTGTTTTTGTTCATTTATACCTTTGAACAGCCAAGCTATTGCACATGGTATTATTCCCAAAGTATTCGCATTGTCTGGTGTCCCCAGCATGGTATACGATTTCCCTGTGAAGTAAAAAGCCCAGGAGAAAGTTCCATTGTCACATGGTATAAGAGATGAAAGAGATGTCAGATGAATGAGGGGAAAAAATAGACAATTTTCTTGCATTAGACCTTGTATATCTGTTCTGATTATTTCCAGCGTTTTACAGCGATTGAATGTACTATAGTCCGTTCATAATTTGTTGATAGCTCACTGCAAGTTTGACCCTCATTAGAGAACTGAAATACAGAGAGGACAGCTAATATGATATAATAACAAAAACCAAACTAAAACTGGCAGTTTAAGATGTTTTCGACTAACCCACCTTGTATCTGAAGAAATACAATACAGCTATAAAACTTTTAATCCGATTATGTAGGTATTTTGAGTGGAAATGAGTGACCAGTGTCGTAGAGTATATGATTAAAACATTAGTTACTTTAAATAAATAAATATATTAATATTCTTAANAGGAACGAAAGGTACGTATATGTTTGTAGGAATATGAAAAAAAGTTACTCACGCACTGCACAAAATTCGCAAAATAAATATTAGAGACGTTAATTACTGCCGTAGACGCCGAAACACCAACGAGCCGTAAATTAAATGCGATTAAAAAATGTACTAAACCAAAAATTATTTTCGTTCGTAACAACTTCACCCTTTCAAGGCAAGTTTCGAATATAAACTGAAGCTTTATATTTAATGAATAAACACCTCAGGAACCTCCGCCTATGATTTTACGAGGTTTACGACCGTTTTATGACTTGGGCCCTCATTTTGTGCTATCGACAAATTATGAACGGACTATAGATCTGTTTAAACGATTTAAGTGAACTCACTATCCACATAAATCCTAAAATAGACTTAAAAACGATTTCTTTGGTTTATCAACAGCTAATGTTTTGCACAGTAAAGAATTTTCAATTTAGTTACCCATAGACAAATTTTAACAAGACAAATTCAGTATGTTAATTTTTTTGAGCAACTACAATAACAATGAACTTACCGAAATGGAACAACAATAAAACCATAATTCATTTTTCAGGCCCAACTAACGCATGAGATTGATGCATTGAAAATATCGATGCATATCCAACAAGCTATAGTTCGTCGTGCACGTGGAAAATTTGCAATTTGATGGGACTTTCTATATAAAGGCAGCGTATGCATACAAAACACTGTATCGGATTCAGGCATTTTTAGGGGTCGATAAGCTCTCTAATCCCACTTTCGAATAAATACTTCGCCTATAAAGAGAGATATCTCTCTCGAAGCTTCGGAGGGATTACCGACATTTTCGAATCTTTCCTGAACTTGGAAGACTTTTTGCTGATGTCGTTAAATTCAGATTATCAGTATAAAGACAATTTTATTAGAAAATTTGCAGGTAATCCTCGAAAACCGGCTTTGTTATTTGTAAGTTAGATAATTTTTCCGGTTGCCTTCAGAGGTTCAGACAATCATTCCTCGTTTATGATACGATTAATTTAAATACTATCGAATACTGAATATTTATTTTCATAGGGAAAATTTTTATACTATTTATACTTTATTATATTATATCATTCACCAATAATGTAGATTCTATAGGCAATTGAACTTTAGAAACCGGTTGAATAGTTACTGAGTCTAGACAAAAGACAAAGAAGTCTTCCCTCTTAATATTATGAGTAGTTCAGATCAGGTTTTCTGAAATGAAATTTTCGAAAGAATGGAAAATTGTATGGATCCATCTCGTCTCTTCTGTTGGATCACTTACCCAAACCAGCATGTCCGAAGCAAAAAAGGCAACCATCAGTCCCGTTGATTACGGCATGAATGACGTCCGTGAGAGCACTCGAACACACCTCCGTCTGAAAACAAGATTCATTCTGTTAGGAAATCACGTTCAAACGGGAATATAGATAACTTCGAAACTAGTCATGCTTGTGCAAATTCACATCATCCATCTAGGGTTTGGAGAGACCGCGGCTCGACGAAAAGTTTATAATTGAACGAGAATTCTGAAATCATGAAACGCTGTATGTACTCGTATTTAATATTAACACACTCGTAAATACTCTTCAAAATCGAGGGAAATTGCTTAATTGTGGGGCTGCTGTTTTTGTCTCGGCTTCATCAGATTAGACATGGTACTTGAAATGGTTCGTAATGACAAACTACACAATGGGTTGAATTTTTTTTAAATCTTGCTCTGCATAAGCACATAACCAAAAAAAAATACTTTGATGATTCATCTACAAAATGAAGTTATTTTCAGTGGGAAATACAATCAATAGCAGAACGACAATATTTTGATTTTTATTATAACTTCCACTCATTGGCAATTCTTTCCCTTGACAGTTATTCAAAGTTCAAACTGAACAACTAACGAAAGGCTGATAAAGTTCATGGCTTTGAAAATTTAATCATGGCGCATTTCACTGGATGGACATGATTCAATTAGTTCTCATGTAAGCCCAGGCTACGAGTATCGAGAAACGTTTGGAATATTTGATGAAAATTCCGAACGAAGCCGATCAATTTTAAGGGAAGAGATCGAACGGACTTGATATAACAATACTTGGTCGGGTTTCGTTTTGTGTCCGTTGAACAAGATTATTATTGACGAATGATGAACGACGACAGTAGTGGTGTTGATTGGATGTTATACCAATTTTTATGGCAGTTAAATAGCTTCAAATGAGAAAATTATCATAAATGGTTTGAAGATACCAACACAAAAAAAATACACTCACTCACTGTAATGTAAAAAAATACAAAATTTTAAAAATTATCAGACACACAAGAGTTCACTGAGCATTGTTTTTGTATAAGTTTTGCTTCATTGTAAGGGGACTCTAGGTAGAGACTTATTCATACTTCATACTTTCTAATGAATTTCAAAAATAAAAGCAATTTTTTCTCTTAAGGTTAGGTTGTTAGGAAGGGTACCCACTTCATTTCGCATTAGTTAACTTATTTAGAATGCCCGAATTCATGATGAATATGTATTATTTGTGCCGACTGTATGTATAATCTGGATATTTGAAAAATGGCATTGGCAATGTTGCTAAGTGCCAAAAATAAACAGAGCATTGGCAAATGGAGTTCGATTATACGAGATACACGAAATGGATTGGCAAAACAGTATAACTGTTATATAATGAGTGGATCATCCAAAGACGATTGTGGATTATATAATAACATACTGACAATCGAAACATCGTGAAGTAGCTTCGTTTAAAGTTTTTCTCATTTATTGTTCATTCTTGTATTGCCTCATAATTTTTTTATTTCTTTGCTCATTTTTATTCTACTGAAGATACTTTCACCACATCGACGCGCGATTCGTTAACCAAGTTAGCATCTTCAGGAGATGACATATTTAGTCATGAATTTCACTAGTTCGGACTTCCATTGTCTACTATATAAAATGATTTCAAATCCCTGAAACAAGTAAAAAAGAATAATTGAAAAAGGATAGCTGAAAATAACAATTATATTAAGCAACAATAAACCTGAAATGAAATGATAGTGAAATAACCTACAAGTAAAAATATAATAATTGAATAAATAAAAATTAAAGGAATGAAAAAAGAAAATAATAAAAAAATA